TGATGCATACTTAACGAACAGCAGTCAATGCCTACCTGCTGAACGCGGGATTTATTTGAGAGGGTACCTCCCGAACACCCCCCGTTATTCCTACGACTACGTGTAATCATATTTATATATTTTGTGGCCTTTTTACGGGGTCCCGGTCCCTAGAGAAAGCTCAACACTAACATGTGTCTATTGCCACCCATTTCTCACCACTAACATGTGTTTGTTGAAATAGGATTTTTATTTTTATTTTTTTGAAACAAAAGTGGCCATTGCGTGTGAGGACGAGTAACTACTCGAAGGGTGAAGGGACATCCTTGCGGACGTCCCTTCGGGGTGGGGGCACCTTTTTACAGGCACCCCCGGGTGGGAGCACCCTTGCGGGTACCCCCAGGTGGGCACCGATACCGAAGTACCGATACCCGGGTCGGGCAGAAACTCGTCCTCACTTAGCACCCCGCTTTCCCCATACTACTTAAGTTGGCCGTCCTAAACAGCGTTGGTTGGGCAGGGACGGGAAGCACAGTTAAAACAATTTTTTTTTCTCAGAAAAATTGCTTTCCACATCAGGGCTCGAACTCACGATCTTACTCTCCATTACTCTACTAGCCCTACACACTAACCACTACACCACTGTGCCTCCTCTTTTATTATTATTATTATTATTATTATTATTATTATTATTATTATTATTATTATTATTATTATTATTATTATTATTATTATTATTATTATTATTATTATTATTATTATTATTATTATTATTATTATTATTATTATTATTATTATTATTATTATTATTATTATTATTATTATTATTATTATTATTATTATTATTATTCTTGCAATTTTAATTAACAATTATTTTTGCATTTATTTACAGTTTTTTATTATTATTATTATCATTATCACAATTAATTTGAATTAAAACATTTGAATTAATTTATAGTTAAGAAATTAAACTGGCATTTCAATATATATATACAGTATAATTTATATGATATATATATGCTCTTAAATTATAATCTAATCTAATAATTTATAGTTAAAGTTATTAAATAAGTTAAAACTATTAAATAGGTTTATTATTTTAATTTTTTTGTTTTATTAATTTAATAATACAGTTTAAAAATTTTTATTTCTATACAAAGATATAAATTATGTTAAATAAATGTATTAGTTTTTACATTTGTAACAAATTTCAAATCTATTTAAATTATTATTTAATTTATTATTAAATAATTATAAACACTTTTACTATTATTCAGATTTATTTATTTATTAAATTTTGCTGTCATGTCATCTATAAATATTAGATGTACAGTACATATACAGTAATACACTGAACACTGAATATTATTATACAATAATTAAAAATTTTATAACAATATAAAAATATGTATAACAGATGATATATTAATATTATAATACAATTGTAACATCTATTGATGAATTTGTGAGTTAAAAAATTGTTTATTAGAAAAAATAAATAAATATTATAATAATACAACTTTTATATAATATAATTCTAAACACAAATAGATTATAATTCTATCTTAATTTTAAAACATATTTATTTTTATAAAAAAAATTAATATTATTATTATATACAATAGTTTTTATGGTAATTTTAAAATTCATAATATACAATATAAATTACAATTTCTATATATGTTGAAAATTCTATGTGTTAATTGCTAAATGCTTTAATTTGATAAAATAAATAAGTTTCACATTTGCCACTATTATTATTATTAATTATTATTTATTTTGTTTAATTTAAATAAAATAATTCATATATAATTTTTTTGTATCATTTGCGCAAATCGTGAGAAAAAGAGGTAAATTTAGTGAAAAAAATGAATTTTATTGCCGAGGATTTGTGCGATAATTGCTATCGCGATAAGAGTTATATGTTTGCGAAAAATAATTATTTTTTAAAACCCATTGAAAATTGCAGCGATTCTTGTTTTTCAACAATATATATATACAGTATATATACTATAAATATATATATCCAAATGTATCCTGGATTTATACTATACTGTATAATAATTTATTTTTTAGTTTTAAAAAAAACTTTGCAATAAACTATAGCATATACTGCATATATATATATATATAGTATATTTTTAAAATCAAGAATTATTGATATAATGATAAATAAAATAAAAAAATTTCAAATTAAAGGTTTTCCATAATTTTATACGATTTTAAAAGCGATAAAAAATATTTAAAAATCTATATATATTAAGTTAACCAAAAACAGTGGGCTATAACTTACATTAGATTACTATTAGATTGGAACATTAGATAAAATTTTTATGATAAACCATATTAACTCATTGTTTATTATGATTATTAAAGCTAATAATGTATTGTCAATTAAATTAATGTCTGCATTAATCAATACCCTATGAGTAGTAGTAGTAGTTGTTGTTATTAATAAATATTTACTAAATAGTTATTAAAAATTTATTGATAACTTAATAATATATGTATCTATGGATAATATCTATGTGTATAATATAATCTATTGGCCAATATTATATGGTAAGGACACCACCACCACCATAGGGCATAGGGAGACGGGAGGCTAATAAAAGCAAACAAAAAATTATAATTTCATTTAATGATTGGAAATCAAAATTAATTATCCAATGAAATATATAATATTATATATATACTGTATAATGATTAACATGTTTTAGTTAATGCATTTAAATGCATCGATAAAAATACAATTTTGCATTAATTGCAAGTTTTTTGGGCCCAATCTCTCTCTCTCTCTCTCTCTCTCTCTCTCTCTCTCTCTCTCTCTCTCTCTCTTTCAATCATCATTTTTGATACTATCACACTATGTATTTATCGATAATAATTCATAATAAAAATTGACTATAATTTTTTGGCTAAATAGCAAACTAATCACTAGAATTATACTGTTTAAAATATTTTAGCCATTTATTAATAAATAAAAATTGTCTTAAAAATCAAGGACATGAAAGCAACTGTACAGTAAATACATACTAGTGTTGTATTTTATTTAGTTTATTTATAAATACAGTACATGATATGATATTTATACCATTAGATCCTAATATTATATCTGATGAAAATGTTTTTTTTTTTTGAAGATTGATATCTAAATTAATAGCAGATTTATTTGGCAAACAATAGTAAAAAAGAGTTAATACAATAATATGGTTGTCTGTCCTTGTCTTGTCTCCAAAAAAAAAATAAAACTATTGCCCGAAAGGCTCACAAAAATGATACCGAAATTTATTAATAGATATGTTTCTCACGATATCTAAAGATAATAATCTTTTGTTATGTATTTTTTTCAAATGTCATGACTGACTGAATGTTTGGTTTCATATTTTCATTGTTTTATAAAAACAACCGCTACTTAAAAATTTGTATTTATTTAATTTAAATTAAAATTTATTTTATACTTAATACCTGTATATTTGTTAAATTAAATATTTGTCAGTATATATATATTATATATTTTATTGTCTATATTTAATATTATTAGATAATAAATTTATATTATTATAAAATTTTTAAATATAGTAACAGTAACTTATATAAAACCCTTAGTAATAGACATAGTTACTAATATACTTATAGATAAATTACAGTATATTATAGTTAATTATAAAATGATAATTAAGGTCTTTTTAGTTCATTTTATAATTTATCAATTAGTTAATCAACTATTAAATTATTGAAATATTAATAGAATTATTTTTTTAATCATCTAAAAAAATACTAATCTAACAAATTTTATATTAAATCGTATTTATTAAAAAAAGTATTCACAATAAATAAATTAAAAACATTTTCAGCTTTTTATTATTATTAATTAATTAAATTTTACTTTTAATTACATACTTGTTTGAACTTTGAATAATTTAATATAATATAAATAAAATAATAAATAATATTTAGTATTTAAAAAAAATTATAACAACTCATTATTATCTACTAAATAATTTGTTGTAATTAATGCATTGACATTAAAATACATTTAATAATAATTATAATTAACAAATTTAATTAACATTTTTTTTAGTTATTATTAATAAAATTAAAGTGGCGCCACAAACACATACAAACACACACACTGTTTAACTAACTTTTATTTTGAAACAAATATGATCTGGTACAGTACAGTACAGTAGTTTAATTCAGTATATTATACATTGAGAGGCATGGCATGCGCGGGGCGGTCACCAAATGAGGGTATGCCCTCCCCGTGCTTAGTGTATATGAAATTATGAAATGTGTTTTCATGTTATGTTGTGATTGTCTCAAGAAGTGTGTGTCTGTGTGTTCAGTGAAATACCACTTCTTATTATTTCAAACAATCTTTTTATTATTATTATTATTATTATTATTATTATATTGTCTCATATTTTTGCATTTCTCTCTTTATTATTAAAATTAATTTCATCATCGGATACGACGATCCCATATACAGTATAATTGAATATAGAGACCCATCATATCATTTATGAAACAGTGTTTTCGGTGTTATTTTTATTATAATTATTATTTAATCACTAATTGTATGGCAAAACATATATTGTTGATCACTATTATTGGCATAATTGTTAATAGTGTGTCAAATGTCATCATTAATCGACTATTATTATTGAAAAATAAAAAATTTCTATTGATTTGCAAATCGGACACAAACTATCCAAAAATAAATCATAATAATTAGTATTTGTTATTATATAATATTAATGCAAACTTTATATATGCATTAACTTTTATATAATTTATTTATTGGTTGTTAAAATAAAATTTTATTTTTATTTTGCTGTGTGTTTCACAAGCCTTTATTATTATTGTTATTATTATTGGTATAATAATAATAATAATATTATGGTTTTACAGTCATAATTTGATATAACATTATATATCTATATATATATATATATATATATATAAAGTGAGATATAATTGATTGTAAAGCCGGTTAGTTATATATATATATAGACGACATGTCTCGCCGCAAACAAGCCTGTCCTCAACATAAAGCCGCCAATGATTACGACGACCTGTTAGTCCAGTCCGACCATCAGCAAGGTTTGTGCTGTTGTTGTCCAACACTTTGTATTGATTTATCAATTTTTAATGTATTGATATATATTAAGTATACCAAAGTTTGTCAAAAAAAATCAATTTATTGAACTTATTATTTTTATTTGTATTTTTTTGTTGTTGTTGAAGAAACTATTGAAATTTCAATTAATTTATCGATTTTTCAATATTTAATTTATTGATTATTCAATTATACTGTACAACAATCCTAAAAATTGCACTTATAATATATATGATAACTTTTATTTAAAAAAAAAATAATATCTCATTTGATTGACTTTGTAATGAAGTGAGTTTAGATACTGATAAAAAAACATAATATATAATATCACACACACTATTGCATAACTTTTTTTATATTATATTAGTTTGTAGTTAAGATATTTAATTAATAGACAACTTTTAGGTCAGATATATGTTAAGACAATTACAACATATGCTATCAATATATTGTGTAAAATAAAACATTTTATTTTAACTATTAATTTATTTATCTTTTGATTTTTTTAATACTATTTATCAATATTTGCCATCAATAGTGAACTTTTTGTTTGTTTGTTTGTTTGTTGTAATTAAATCTATTTTATCATATTTTTTGATAATATTTTTTCTGTTTGTTTGTTTGTTAAGTGTTCTGTACTACTCTTTAAGTTGATTTCAGAGAGAAAAAGTTTTTTTCTCTGTTTATTAACTAAATGAAAGAAACAAATTATTTTAAATGGATTCTGTATTTAACAAGAATTCTAAAAGAAATATAATTTTTATTAATTAATTAATTACTTAATTAACAATTATTATAATAACTATTATTATTAGAATTTTGTAGATGTATAAAAATTTGTAATCAAATTATAAATGTATAAAAAAATAAAGGTATTATTTTACAACATATCGATTCTCATTGCATTTCATTTTGTTAGTGTTATTGTTTAGAGCAAAATCCACTTTAAGTTCTCTCTCTCTCTCTCTCTCTCTCTCTCTCTCTCTCTTTGATGTGATTGTGATTTTTTGGTTATCATAAATACAATATAAGTACAACTACTTGATTATAATGTGTTTTAGTTTACTTTTGCTATCAGAATATATTTTTTATATAAAGTATTTTATATATATTGTATATATATATCAAATATGACTTTTACTTTGTGCCGTATTGTATAATATACAGTATATGATATTTCTATATAGATTTATATAATGTATAATACGGTAATAATAATAATAATAAAATATATGAGGAGAGAGAGAGAGAGAGAGAGAGATTTCCTAATCAGTTGTGCTTATCTTTGGTCGGGAATGTTAGTTAAAAATCAATAAACGCCAACAGCAGGAAAGGCATCACATCCATACTTATCAACAGTGAATGTATGAGTGAGTGAGTGAGTGGGTGAGAGAGAGAGATGAGAGAGTAACCAACAAACATCTCTCTCTCTCTCTCTCTAAAACATATATTTTTTAAAAGTCAAAGGAAATAAAAACATGAGTGAATTTGTATTATATAGTTATACAGTAATGAATAGTTTTAAATCTGAGAGGCAAATGAGCAGCGATTTAAATAACTTTACATTTATATTATTGTATGTGTTTTTGTTTGATATCTACATTAAAACATTGCTTTTACTCATTATATCGTATCAAAAGATAGTGTGTGTGTTGAATGGGAACAGAAAGTGAATGAATGGAAAAAAAGTGTAATATTATACTATTTTTCATTTAAATCTACAAAAATCTGAAATTAAGTCCTAAATATTATTATCATTTGCTAACATATATACAGTAATATATATATATATATTATATACATGTATATACTAACTGAAAATCCATATAATATATATATATACAATTATATGTATACAATATTATAGTTGTATACAAACAGTTTTTGCAATGTAGAAATTTGGTGAAAACATAAAATAAAATAATAATTTACTACATTTTAAATGTTGTCTTTCATAATATAGTAAAAGCAATTATTCATCTTTTAGTTAATATAATAGACATATATATATATATATATATATATATATATATATATATATATATATATATATATATCATATTTATATGTGTGCAGTGCACTTAATATACTGTATATATATACGTTTATACTGTATTATGATATGATATAATATCTACAATAATATGTATAATAATAATAACGTGTGTGTTTTACTTAAGTAGAAAAATAAATAACTATAAAAATATTAAAAAGTTAAAGTTGTTTAATATTAGACACTATCTCTTATAAATATATATATATAGTTAGTTAGGTTGTGTTTGCATTGAATCGACTTTTTAAAAATGGGCTCAATTTATGAGATAAGGTTCGGTCCCATAATTGGTGGAAACGGCAAACGTTATATATATATAATATATAAATACTGATATCGAGAGAGAGAGAGAGAGAGAGAGAGAGAGAGAGAGAGAGAGAGAGAGAGAGACATTGGGATAGAGAGTTGTGTTAAGTTAACTATTGATATGAAAGTGATAAGAGAGTGCACTTTGCGCTTATCGGTTGTGCAAATCGGTTAAGATATTCGTGTGAGCGCTCAGACTGTGCCATAGATTGCAACTATAGATATACAACACTGGCATACAATCTCTGGCATCTCGGCTCCAAATAGGCGATACATATACACACACTACAGACCATTTCGACTGTACCACTGTGTATGACTATGAGACCAGAGATAAGCACATATATATATATAGAGAAAGAGAGAGAGAGAGAGAGAGAGAGAGAGAGAGAGAGAGAGAGAGAGAGAGAGATCATAGTTTGCCTCATCATTTGACTTTTGGCTCACAAATACATCGATACTCTCTATTTGGATGCAGTTTTTTCAGATATGTTTTGCGAGATTCAGATATACACTATGTTTAGGCGTTCAGTCAAACATCTGATATGACCAACAAAATAGCCAATCATTTGCTTATATAGTATATACAGTCATTGATAGTAATATTTGATAACAAAAAAAAACATTTATAGTCAAAGCTATTCATTTAAATTTATATTTCAATATTTCATTTTATTCAAAAATTCACTTTTTAGTTAAATAATAATAAAAAAAACAACATAAAACACACCCAAAATAATTCATTTATTGCAATCTATAAGTTTTAATCTTATATTTGATTTTTATTTTATAAATAAAAAGACATTTCGATAATAAATTTTATACGATTTTCAATGATTTCTAAAAATAATGTCTTAATAAATAACAACAACAAAAAAAAACATTTTAATCGATAATTAGGTTTTTTTTAAAGAGACAATAATAATTTATATATCTATATATCCTTTTAATAGATAGCCTGTTGATCTCAGTATATATTTATTTTAAAAGACAGCTAAAAGTTTTATTTTGTTATTTTTTTTACTTAAAGTAAATGATATATTCCTTTATAAGCTCTATCTTTAGCTAATAAAATACAAATTAATAATAATATATTGTCTTTCACTGTATGTTAAAAGTCAGACAATTAAAGCAATAATTGATGAAAATTTTAGTCAAATTTCTCGGTTTTCTTTGTTTTGTGTTATTTTACTTTATTTTTTGCTAAATGTATGTTTTAAGTGTGCGTTAAATACTTTTGGGTATAATATATTTAATTCATGTGCTGTTGGCTGTCAGTACTGCTCCACACCTTATCATTAGTCTTATGTAAAGAAATTTTTTTTGTTTGATGTAATTTATATGATATTCCCAACACTATATATATATATATATGTAATACACTTTCAACACAACATAAAACATATACATAAGGGATGGGGAGCTCTGTGATATAAGGAGAGGGAGAAAGAGAGAGATCATAGCCATCCTCTCCAATAGATTATATGCATCGCTTTGATCTTAAAAAGCGATAATTGCAATGCCTTTTGCATGTATTGACTTAACACTGAAAAAAGAGATAGAGAACCGGAGAGAGAGAGAGAGAGAGAGAGAGAGAGAGAGAGAACCGGGCGTTGATGTGTTATTGGAAGCAGTGCTGGTCATACATTACACACACACATATACATAAACACATACATACACACATACATACACACATACATACACACATACATACACACATACATACACACATACATACACACATACACACATACATACACACATACATACACACATACATACACACATACATACACACATACATACACACATACATACACACATACATACACACATACATACACACATACATACACATACATACACACATACATATACACACACATACATACACACATACATATACACACACATACATACACATACATACACACATACATATGAAAAACGATTTAATGGTCAGACAATTGATGGGGACTCACGTTTTGGGAGGGAATAAAGCCGGTGGCAATTGAGCGCCTGCTGATCGCACACACCATACACACCAACGTAAAACATACAACACATCACTTTTATATATTGTATATACAGTCTATATATGTATAACAACATACACTCTCTTATGCAATGCTATGTAAAGGTGTTTCACAATTGATAACACTATGAGAATCACTTCATCACCAGTCAGTTACTGATATTACAGTCTAATCCCATTTGATTGCCATATATATACTGTATTGCAATATATAATAGATATCAGCTATTGTTAACATAGATCTGACTTTACTTTTTTTTGTATGTATGTGTGTTGTGTTTAAACGATAACTAGAGGACTGAATATAATATAATATAATATAATAGATTAGATTATGAATTAAGACCTTTTATTCATTGGATATTCATTTGATTGTAAACAGCGATATAATGAAATATTAGTTGCTTATAACTTATTATCATAGCGCATATAAAGTATATTGTTGTATATATACACACCATATATAAATTTATATATATATATATATTATATTATTTATCAATATATATATATATATAAGTAATATTATAACTTAGCTGTCTTATCATAAATATTTTATGGCAGCCCCTAAAGCACTTGAACCGGCC